GGGACTGGACAATGAATGCTCAGTCCTCCTTCTCTTTAAATTCTGACTTTGTGTAGTAAATTTGAAGTGTTGCCCACATCATTTTGTTTATTTTGTTTTATGTTCTAAGTTAAAGGCTCCACTCTCTAGACAGTTATAACATCACACTGATTTGTTTCTCCTGGGTTTCAGATCACTTTTCGCCTCTTGAACATCTGAGAACTTTGTGGTATTGTTCACCCTATTCTTCCCCCTTTATTTTCTACTCTACTTTCTCAACTTCATGTTCTCTTGCTTTCAATTATCATTTTAAGAGAAAGACTTCTAAACAAATGCCTAGTTCCACCTCACTGTGAATGCAGTCTCACCTTCAACCAACGGAGGCATCTCTGTGCAGATGGCTCACTAGTGTTTAATGAACAAACAAATGGGCACAAACACCACTAATCAAGTGCTGAGTAAACACTGTATCCAGGCATTCAAGGTTCTCCATACATTGACCTGAGCTTCACCTTCCAGTACGTGTCATGACGCTCACACCAGTGCACCTGTACCTGCTCGATGCTGGTTCCTCTGTGCTTGCCCTGTCCCCTCTGCACAAGAGGGATGATTTGGGCCTCACTGTCATCACCTTTTGTTAACCATCACTTAGAGCAGTGATGGCGAACCTTTTGAGCTCGGCGTGTCAGCATTTTGAAAAACCCTAACTTAACTCTGGTGCCGTGTCACATATAGAAATTTTTTGATATTTGCAACCACAGTAAATCAAATATTTATATTTTTGATATTTATTTTATATATTTAAATGCCATTTAACAAAGAAAAATCAACCAAAAAAATGAGTTCGCATGTCACCTCTGACACGCGTGTCACAGGTTCGCCATCACTGACTTAGAGTGTTTCTAGAAGACTAGGGAATGATAAAACAATTTACCAGGTACAAAGACTAAGGCAGCACTTCAAGGAAAAGTAAAGTGTGCAGTTGCCATCTGGTGGTGAATGTGAGCAGTTACAGGGAGAAATCTGTTATTCTACAAGTATTTGTTGAGAGTTTTGTATGGCAGATACTAGGGACTAGGGACTAGGGTTACAGCAGTGAATAGATCAGATAAAAAAGCTGCCCTGTGGTGCTTCTGTTGGCTGTTCTGTGGAGATACCATGGCAAAGGCAGGGGAGCCAGAGTCAATACCTTAATTAGGTAGTGTTTGGGGGCTTGAAATACCCAGTTACAGTTGGCCATGTCATTGTAATCTTCAGGATAATGAAGACTCTGTATGAGGCCTTCTTCAAAAAGGACGGCCAAGGAACTGCAGCCAGAATCTGAAACACAAGGGAAAACATGCAAACAGTGGCATCAGCCAAGGAAAGAGGAACCCCTTTGTTTTTCCTCTTGTTTCCCACGAATGATGCGTGACCTAAATCTGTAGGCTGAGCCAGCAAGAAGGAAGAGGTTCATGCACTGATTTTCCAGAACTCACTGGGCATGCTCAGCTCACTTAGGTGTGCAGTCGCAGCATCATAGGAGCGCTGTGCCTGGCGTCTCACACCAGCACACCCGTACCTGCTCTGTGCTGATTCACAGGCCTGTGCTCCTCTCCACCTTGGAGCCAAGGGGGCCTTGGGAGGGGGCTCCCTGCCCCTCACCCAATTCCTATGGGGCCTCAACTTTTACAAAAGGCTGGATAGTGTGTGATAAAAGAAAAATGGTTTTACCAGGAAGGTAGTTTGGCTTAAGAGCTTTGTAGGTGAGATTAAAACCAACGGCATAATCTGTGGCATCAGAGTTGAACTTCAGCCTCAAAGAGTTGGAGGCAACAAGAACTGATGAAACGAGGCTTTCTCCACAGAATTTCCCTGCAACATAAGAAGGTTCTTTGTTCAGAGTCTAGAAAACAGCACCCATTCAAAGACTGAAGGAGACCTGAACTTGTCATGATAGTGCAGGATCGCCTAACCCGGGGTTTCTCAACCTTGGCACTACTGACATTTTGAACTGGAACGTTCTTTGTGTTCAGGCTCCTGTGCATTGTAGGGTGTTTTGCACATTCCTGGCCTCTGACCTCTAGATGCCCGTACTTCTTCCTGCAGCTGTGACACCAAAAAAGCTTCTAAGACACTGCCAACCGTCTCCTGGGAGGCAAAATCACCTCCAGTTAAGAGCCACAGAAACACCTCTTCACTTCTGTGTTTTATATAAGCAACTTTTCTCTCCTATTCATGAGTATCCATTTTTACTTTTAGCTGAATGAGACAGGGGAAGACGGTTTTCATGCCTAGAAAAGCCCCATGCTGCCTGGGAGGCAGGAGCCCTGCAGGGTGCCTACATTTTACTCCTGATGGGCTCCAGGTCTGAAATGAGCTCGGAAGCCTGGTTCCATGGGAAGCCAATGCAGCGAGCAAAATGCACTGTGGCCTCCCAGCCATCACACAGCCCCGGATTTAGTTCCTTTCCACTATCCAGGCTGAGTCTCAAAAGTTGGAGATAGGAAATGTGGTGGGTACAGATGGCTCAGTGCCAGACATACTGTATCCAGGCCCCACGAAGCCCTCTGAGCACTGGTGTCCATTTGACAATGTGGAAATCCACTCACCAAGAAGTCTGTCTTCTAAAGAATGCATTGACAGGTAATTGTGGTCACAAGACTCTGCATCCAAGTGGGAAAAGCTGAGTAACACATGCATGTCCTCGGGTACCAACAGCGTCCAGACACAAAGTCTGCAGGCAGATACGTCGGAAGGGTGTTATTTCTAGACAGAAAGTGGCTGTCCCAGTTACTGGGCACAGTCAGACCGGAGGTGGGCGTCGGGGGAGGAGTGGCAGAGTGGGCTACTCACTGCTTGCTGTCATAATAGAGGTAGGGGCTCTCTGGGAAGTGCAGCTCCCCCTCTGACTCCCTGACTACAGGATCCTTCTCCCTGCAGGCGGCTGGGAGGGAAGCCACAGAATCAGGCTAACAACAATGGCTAGTCACAGCAGCCCTCGCTTTCCAGGACCCAGACAGATGCTGGGACCCCCTGGATCTTCGTTATGCACGCTTCCTTTTTTCACGAAACCTTTTCCTGCCTTGGTTCCAGATGCCTTTTGTTTATTTATTTTTGTTCCTTTTAGGTCCTGCTTAACCTTGAGATTCTATGATTATTTTCCCCTTCCCTCTTCTTTCTCTGACTCCATACTCCATTCTATAAATACAGGTAGTTCCCAGGTTCTGTGATTAATTTTCATCTCTCTCTGCCTGGGCCCTCTGACCAGTCTCATTCATACCCTCAGTTTCAACTATCGTCTCTACATTTCTAAACTTTAGACCTGATTTTTCAATTGTCTCCTAGGTATCGCCCCTGAAACTTAACATGCTACAACTGAAATTTGTCTGGGTATGCAAGAGTGCTTCCACGTCAGCTTTGATTATTTTTATCAGCCCCTTTCTTAGTCTGTCCTGCCTAAAACTTCGGTAGCATCCTTGATTCCCCCCTCTTCACCCTTCATCTAAGTGACCAACAAGTCCTAATTCTTCTTGTTTCTGTTCCCTCCTCATCCTCTGGCCCTTGCCCTAGGTCAGTGGTCGGCAAACTCATTAGTCAACAGAGCCAAATATGAACAGTACAACGATTGAAATTTCTTTCGAGAGCCAAATTTTTTAAACGTAAACTATATAGGTAGGTACATTGTTATTAACTTAATTAGGGTACTCCTAAGGCTTAGGAAGAGCCACACTCAAGGGGCCAAAGAGCTGCATGTGGCTCGCGAGCTAGTTTGCCGACCACGGCCGTAGGTCAAGCTTGTATTTCTTGTCTCTTGAACTAATGTATAATCTCATAAATCCACCTCGAATTGTTTTCCCCTCTGACCTATAGATATATTCCCTATGTGCGGCTCTTATGCCACTGAACTATAGCTCTAGTCCATTTAATCAACTTCCTGTTTTGACTGGCATTCAAATTTCCATAAAGTGGTCTCACATTATCTTTCTAATCTCCCTCATTAACCTGTCACCTATCCTGCACTTCAGCTGCTTTGAGATGACTGGTCTCCATTACAACCTACGTTTTCCTATCTCCATCCTTTAGTACCCATCCAGGATGGCAGCTGGAATATTTTTCTTTACCTGAATCCCACTGCCACCTGACAAAATTCTTCTTAACCTTTTCCTTTAAGATTCACCTTAGAAGAGAAGATGTCTGTGCTTCAAAGCCTCCCTGCCTTTTTTTTTTCCCTGCCAGAGGAGCCATGCACTCCTCTGCGCTCTCAGGGTACTCTTCCTCACATTGCTCTCTGTAGGTAGTTCCACAGACTCACAGAACCACCAGAGATTTGAGCTCAAGATGCCTTAGAAACCATCTGGTCCAAACTTTTCTTTATGAATGAAGAAACTTAGGTCCAGAAGTAGAAAGGAGCTTCCCCAAGTCACAGAGTGAATTCATTGCCGTGTTGCAACATAACACCAGGGTGAGCCCCCTGGATAAGTAAGGGCACCTTCAGGGCAAGGCGTGTAGCTTCTTGACCACATCTGCACCACCTTATCCTCCTCCTTCAAGTCTCTGATGCAAAGCAAGGATCTGGCAAATGTTTGCTGAATTGAGAGGGAGCTCTGGATGTACAGGGTAGGAAATGGGAGGGAATCTGGGGCTCCAGCTGGGTGAGGGACCTGACCCGCAGGGATTTCCAAGTGGTGGCTCTGTACCTAGTGCACGAGGACAGCTCTTGCTGAGGAAAATGTTTGATTATAAAGTGAACTGACATATAAGTCATGCTTTTGGGGGAACGGACTGGAGAAATACCCACCTCTGGAGCTCTTTCTCCGTTTCCCTAGGGAAGAAAAGGAAAGATGCAATTCAAGGTTTGTGGTATCCTAAACAATATTTCAAGAAGTTAGCAACTCCCTGGCTTAAAAGTGCAGAGATTTTTCAAGTCAATATGCAACTAATGAGAATGTAATCTATGGAAAGAACAGAAGGGACAAGTTGACAAAGCAGAAAGTGGCCTTTTTGTTTTAAGGAGATGATGTCACTCTGTTTATTAAGCAGGGGAACTAAGAGACAGGCCCAGATTAGCTTGGAGGTTACACAGAGCAAAGAAGAGGTCATCTGGCCCACCCCTCTTGTTTTACATGAGAAGGGAAGCTCCAGATGGACTAGCTCACCACAACCACAAAAGAATTGTTGGGATAGCTATAACCTGAACTGAAGAGTGCAGGTACCTGCCACCAGACCATATACATGAAAACAAAACCAAGTTCTTACTGAATCAATTTGAATGAATCCCTTTGGGGAAAAACAGAAGCCCTATTGGGGCTGGAAGCCACCAGTTAAGAAAACAGTTAAGGGTGATTTGGAGGCAGAAATGAAGTTTCAGTTAACTCACTGGTCAGGCTAAGTAGAAGGCATATGTAGACCCAGGCCTTTTCAGACTTACGGTACCTAGATCTGTATAAGGCCTTCTCAACCAGGGCATTGCTAACATTTGGGTCTGCATTATTCTTTTTTGCGGGGCCTGTCCTGTGCATTGTAGCAGGTTTAGCAGCATCCATGGCCTCTATCCACTAGATGCTAATGTCACTCTCTCCCCTTCCCCTAGTTGTGACAACCAAAAATGTCTCCAGACATTGTCCCCTGTGCTTGATGACCACTGATCTATACTATTGCATGCTGAATCTTGCAAGCACAGTTGAGAAGTGGTGAGTACATATCACCAGCTGACATAGTTTAAATTAAAGGCAAATTTGAGAGGGCGAGGATGGATGCATTCATGTTTCATTGACTGTTTGTATGCTGTACCACGCACCATGGTTTCCTCTTGTTTTAGCCTTAGGAAATACCACAGTCCTGATGTGTTGCCCTAAGAACAGAAGCAGAGCCTGTCTGCACAGTGGCCCTGACTTGCCTGGCCTCTGCTGAGGCCCTCTCTGGCCCTAGCTTCTTGACCTTAGGTGCTAGCTTTATTACCAATGTGGATGTGTTTGCGGATCCAGGGAAGCACTTTACTAAGATCTGTGAAGATCCCAGGGGATCCTTGATCGTCTTTCTGCACATTGTTCCTCCAGCCTCGACCACAGCCCGAGCCCCAGGAAGTCACACCAGCGAGAGTCCAAGTCCCTTTCTTATTCCGGCACATGAGGGAACCTCCTGAATCTCCCTGGAGGGGGAAAAGCCTGTTACCATCATGGTCAGTGTCTGTGCCCCAAAGTGCTCACGCTCCCCCCGCCCATAAAGATGCTAGATGAGGACCAATGATATTTCTTCACTTCTAATAATTTGGACTCGGGGCTGGGAGAACAGGCAAGCACAGCTCACATTAGACCCTTGGGTATCATCGGAGCCTATCAGCTCCACCTCCTTCTCCGCATCCTAGGCTTTCATCACACAATCAGGCTGTCTTCCTGTTCCGTCTCATCTTGCAGGCTCAAAGAAGTCTTGCTCAGTACTAAAAATGACCTCAGGTCTTGCTCAGCAGGAGGGATGGAACGAAAGGAAGGTTCCTGTTATACATGAACCTGAAACTTCTGGATAGGAAAGAGCCAGCCATTCTTCAGAGGTGGAGAACCCTGAGCTCATCATTGGCATTATCTGTTACTTAGTCTTTTGGGAAAAGTGGAAAACCTCTTCTGAATCCACACTCCCTGGTATAAATAGGTTGTTCAAACTGTCTCTTTATTTTGACTCAAACCTCTCCTGCCACTCTTGACACTTCTTTTCAGAGTCCACTCTTACAGCTGAGGGAAGCCCTGCCTGGGACCCATCAGCCTAGCTGCTCCCACCTACCTGACAGGCATCTCTGCCTCCATCAAGGAAGCCTGTGCAGAGAAAGGTCTGCCCACTGATAGGTTTATTTAGGGTTAACAGAGCTGCCACACACTCCTCCTGGGTCAAGATGGGCAGGTTCACTTCTTGCAAGACTTGCGGGAGGATGCCGTCTAGAACACACAGAGACGAGAGCCCCAGCAGGCCACTCTTCTACCCTTTCTGAGTCGAAGATGCCTGCTCCAGTCAGGGTTGTGTCTTCTGAAAAGACCTGAACTTCTAAGTCCATTTTTATATTCCCTATTTTAAAACATGTTTGCACAATTGTTTTCTTAAAAAATAACAGATTAAAAATTCTATTTTTGGATTGCCCAACAGAAAGTTCTGACATCTGGTTAAGAGTAGAGGCATAGAAGTTCTTACTTTCAGTCAGGCGGCCCCAGCCTGCAGTCGTGCAAATCAATCCAGCCTTAAATTGTTCTCCTGGCTCTGGAAGACACATGGGCCCCACAGACAGGCCTGAAAAAAGAGCAAGGACAGGGCATGGAGGAGAGGTCACCAGATGCACTCACCCACTGGCATCTAGGTGGTCCCCCCAAGATCTTGTAAGAGTTGTGATATTTCTCCCTGACACTTTCAGGTGTCACTTGTCAGACAAAGAAAGACACTCTACATAATCCTGTATCTGAAGCTATAAGCAAAAATGTTTCAGGTAGGGGACCCTTCACCCCTAACCCCTGTCTCTAAGTCCATGACCCAGAATTGCTGGGCATATCATGTACTATAAGGAATGTGCTATAGAACAGAATTTGTGGAGAACATGGGATAGATAATTCAGAGTGAGCCTGAAATGTTTACCAAAATGGAAGGTGCCAGCCATCTTCAAAAGAGCAATGTCATAATCCATTGGTTTTTTGGTGGAGAATTGGGGGTGTATAATGATGCTTTCAATGGTGAGGGTTTGCTCTCCTGGCTCTTTATGGCTCAAGTCATGTTTTCCAGCAGTAACATTCAAAGTCGATGCAGTATTTCTATTAAAGAGGAAGTAGTAGAATGAATTGATTTCATTGAGCTTCTAAGTACAATTGTAATGGTTGACAAAGTGGCCTCTTCAAAATGGCATGGATGGATAATGGGGGGGTAGGAGGCTGCCGGACAGAGAAAGTGAGAATGATTCCCACACTCTTGCTTAAAATGCAGAGGTTTTCAATTTGATTGGGGAGTAGTAATGAATGGCCTCAGGAGTCAATGATGTAATAAATCGAGTGCTCTGCAATTTCATTTATAAAATGTCTAAAGCTGTAGATACTTTGTAATTCAGGGGTCTAAAGCTGTAGTGGACTTCATTTAGCTACCCTAGGTGGTTGGCCTGGCCTCAGTATCAGCAAGTGTCTTGTGATCCCACTAAATATGTTGCTTTATTGTCAGAGAGCTAAAGCAAAATGTACATTGTGAACGGCACAATAGCACCATAACTCTGCTGTCCCAGAGAGCATGCCCTCTCAGGACTTCGGACTGATTACAACAATGGGAGGTGGGGATCTTCCTACTTACTTTATGTTTAGAGTTTAGAGACCTGGCATGGCCTGGGAAAGACCATTCTATTTCCCTTCCTGAAGCAAACTTATCTGAAAGGAACGGGATGGGATGAATTGAGATGGATTAAGAGCTTTGGGCTTGCCATCTTTTGGGACCCTTTGCTCCCAGATTTTATTTAAAAAAAAAACACACAAAAAACAGAAAGGCCTTACTTTTCTCTTGATATACTTTCCTGGCTCTTGGCTATCTTAAGTACCTAACCTAACACACAGCAACTCCCTAACCTGGGCACCTGCCACATTAGGGGAATTCTTAGGTGATTCTTCTTTAGACTGTCAACGCTCTGGGGGCAGGAATTATGTCTTACTCATCTTTGCAGATTTGAAATAGGATAAATATGGGGACATGACCTTGATTGCAGCCTAATGAACATCAAGAGCACTGGCAACAATAGAACATTTGAAACACACAGGAAAGTGGATTAAGGATGGAAGTTGTTAGATTGAAGCTCATAGAGGCGGGATCAATATGAAAGAAGATGTGGGAGCCTTCGTTATGTTTTACTGGCCTCTGCTTGTTCTCTTTTATACACATCTTAAGATGCATCTCAGTATCAGCACGTGTCTTGTGATCCCACTAAGTATGTTGCTTTACTGTCAGAGAGCTAATGCAAAATGTACATTGTGAACGGCACAATAGCACCATAACTCTGCTGTCCCAGAGAGCATGCCCTCTCAGGACTTCGGACTGATTACAACAATGGGAGGTGGGGATCTTCCTACTTACTTTATGTTTAGAGTTTAGAGACCTGGCATGGCCTGGGAAAGACCATTCTATTTCCCTTCCTGAAGCAAACTTATCTGAAAGGAACGGGATGGGATAAATTGAGATGGATTAAGAGCTTTGGGCTTGCCATCTTTTGGGACCCTTTGCTCCCAGATTTTATTAAAAAAACAACAAAACAAAACTAGAAAGGCCATACTTTTCTCTTGACTTACTTTCCTGGCTCTTGGCTATATAAAGTACCTAACCTAACATAGCAACTCCCTATCCGAGGCACTTAGGACACATTAGGGGAATTATTAAGTGATTCTTCGTTAGACTGTCAACTCTCTGGGGGCAGGAATTATGCCTTACTCATCTTTGCAGATTTGAAATAGGATAAATATGGGGACATGATCTTGATTGCAGCCTAATGAACATCAAGAGCACTGGCAAAAATAGAACATTTGAAACACACAGGAAAATGGATTAAGGATGGAAGTTGTTAGATTTAAGCTCATAGAGGCGGGATCAATATGAAAGAAGATGTGGGAGCCTTCGTTATGTTTTACTGGCCTTTACTTGTTCTCTTTTATACACATCTTAAGATGCATAATGAACTGCATGATTCTTTTTCACTGAAATTTAGGAAAATCAGGAGAGAACTTTCACAAATATATCTTTGTGATGCTTTTTCTCACTTTGTATTATTCTTTATTAATGTCCATTCATTTTTAACTTACTC